CCTCTTCTGTGTATGCTCTCTGTATGTCTCTCTGTATGTCCTCTGTATGTCCCTCCTGCATGCACCTCCTCTGTATGTCTCTCTGTATGTCTCTCTGTAAGGTGTCCCTGTGTCTCATGTCCTCTCTGTCTCTGTATGCCTCTCTGTCATCTCTCTGTATGTCTCTCTCTGCATGTCTCTCTCTGTGTGTCTCTTGCGGCCTCTGTATGCCTCTCTGTCATGCCCTCTCTGTAAGTCCCTGCATGCTCTCTGTATGTCTCTTGTGTGTCCTCTGCATGTCCCTCTCTGTAGCCCTTTGTATGCCCCTCTGTAGCCTCCTCTGCATGCTCTCCTGTGTGTCTCTCCTGCCTCTGTAATGCCTCTCTGTATGTCTCTCTGTATGTCCTCTGTATGCTCTCTGTATGTCTCTCTGTATGCCTCTGTATGTCCTCTCTGTATGCCTCTCTGCACTCCCTTTGTATGCCTCTGTATGCCTCTGTGCCTCTCCTGTCCCCCTCTCTGTACCTCTCTGTATGTCCTCTGTATGTCCTCTGTATGTCCTCTGTATGTCCCTCCTGTATGTCCTCTGTATGCCTCTCTGTATGCCCTCTCTGTATGTCCTCTGCATGTCTGTCCTCTAAAGTCTCTCCCTCCTCTGTGTCCTCTCTGCTGTATGCCTCCCTCTGTATGTCCCTCTCTGTATGTCTCCTGTATGCCTCTCTGTATGCTCCTTGCATGCCCTCTCTGTATGTCCTCTGTGGCTCTGTCTGCAGGCTGCCTCTCTGTATGTCTCTCTCTGCACTATGCATGTCTCTGTATACTCTCTCTGCATCTCTGTGCACTCTCTCTGTACCTCTTTGTATGCCTCTCTGTGTATGCCTCTCTGTACGCCTCTCTGTATGATGTGGGGGAAGGGTTGAGCCCCCAACATGTCTGTAGTGACTGCACTGTATGAAGGTTTCCGTTTCCTTTTTGTGGTGACACTCAGCACCATGCAAACAAATCTGCTTGTCATCATGACTCGGGTTTATCATTTTAGTACATATCACGAGAACTATATTTTGTCTTTTGCACTGAATAATACTTGAGTTAACATGCACCTGCTAATTTCTTACTATTAATATACAATTGTCTTTAAGATCAGTGTTTTAACCTACTGCATCAGATCACAATGTATTGGGTATAGTCGTTTAACACAAATTTTGCCAATTTTACAGTGGTTATTAACCAGTGTGTTGCAAGCAGACCCCACCATTGTGTTATTGCTTAAGGGGAGGTACACTGACGTAAGTTAGGGGTGGAGACATCTTATTGATATTAGACACCTTGGGGGAACACCAGTGTACCGAGTTTGTCAGGTTACATGCTAGACAGACTGAACCGATCCAACATATGCCAACATATTCCAGCATATGCCAACATATTCCAACATATGCCAACATTGCCTTCCTTGTCAGTATGTCTCCCTGTGTGACCTTACAGCATGGTAACCATGGAAGCCTCAAGTTGTCATAATCACAGAAAGAAAGTAGTCTGCAATATGGATACCTATTAGAAATATTGATCTGGCTGTGATTGGAGATCCCCCCCCGGCTGGAGCACACCTTACTTAACTTCAGTGTGGACCGTGTTTATTTGACTGTTCCTGCAGCATGTGTTAGTGTCAGGTACTTGGCAGCCATACTTCTCCATAAATCACATAACGTGTATGATACAGATAAGTTGACAACATAAATCTCATTGACTGTTTGTTTTCAACAAGTGTGACAGGTCTCGGTGTTATTTTCTAATGACATTTGATAGTCGTCTTGGAAGAGAGGGGTTATTTTCAGATTGAATCATTTTCTATGTCATCTGTTAGATGGTCACAGCTTCCTGGTATTATGTGAAAGGCCTCTCATTGGAAGATGTGTGTATGACATCAAGATCAAGGTGTAATCCTCTGGACCAGACCGCCTCCATAATGGAGGAGCATGTATGGGAGCGGGGAGCATATGCTGGGGGAGTAGGAGCATCTGCCAGGGGATCGGGAGCTGGGAGTGTCTGCCCGGGGAGTAGGAGCATCTGCCAGGGGATGGGAGCTGGAGTAGGAGGGGAGGAGTCTGCCCGGGAGTAGGAGCATCTACCAGGGGATGGGAGTGGGGAGCGGGAGTCTGCCCGGGAGTAGGAGCATCTGCCAGGGGATGGGAGCTCTGGAGAGTGTCTGCCCGGGAGTAGGAGCATCTACCAGGGGATGGGAGCTGGGAGTGTCTTCCCGGGGAGTAGGAGCATCTCTGGGGAGCATCTGCCCAGGGATGGGAGTGGGGAGGCGTCTGCCCGGGGGAGTAGGAGCATCTACCAGGGGATGGGGAGCTGGGGGAGGAGCATCTGCCCGGGAGTAGGAGCATCTGCCAGGGGATGGGAGCTGGGAGTGTCTGCCCGGGGAGTAGGAGCATCTACCAGGGGATCGGGAGCTGGGAGTGTCTGCCCGGGGAGTAGGAGCATCTACCAGGGGATCGGGAGCTGGGAGTGTCTGCCCGGGGAGTAGGAGCATCTACCAGGGGATGGGAGTGGGGAGCGTCTGCCCGGGGAGTAGGAGCATCTACCAGGGGATGGGAGTGGGGAGCGTCTGCCCGGGGAGTAGGAGCATCTACCAGGGGATGGGAGCGGGGACCGTCTGCCCGGGGAGTAGGAGCATCTGCCAGGGGATGGGAGTGGGGAGTGTCTGCGCGGGGAGTAGGAGCATCTACCCGGGACTTGGGAGTAGGGACAATCTACCCGGAGTGTCTGCCCAGGACTCTGGAGTATGGAGAATCTGTCCGGGGAGTGGGGAGCGTATGCCCGGGACTCGGGAGTAGGGAGAATCTGCTTGGGGCGAGGGAGTAGAGAGAATCTGCCCTGGGGAGATGGAGCAGAAAGTGTCTGCCTGGGGAACTGGATTGGGGAGCTTCTGTCCAGGGAGCAGGAGTGGGGAGAGTCTTCCCAGGGAGCGGGACAGGGAGCAGAAAGCGTCTGCCCTGGGAGCGGGAGAGGGGAGCATCTGCTCGTGGAGCAAGAGAGGGGAACGTCTGCCCAGGGAGCATGAATGGGGTGTGTCTGCCTGGGGAGTGGAAATGGGGGGTGTCTGCCCGGGGAGAGGGGAGCGTCTGCCCGGGGAGAGGGAGCAGTTAGTGTCTGCCCGGGAAGTGGAAGGGGGGAACGTCTGCCCGGGGTGCGGGAATGGGGGTGTGTCTTCTGTGGAGCGGGAATGGCGAGAGTCTGCCTGGGGGGCAGGAGCGGGGAGCATCTGCCAGAGGAGCGGGACGCTCGACAAACAACAAACACTAACATTATGTAAGTGCAACAGTTTGGAGCCAAGTTACACCCTACTGCTCATTGTGTTGTATACCGGATTAATCAAGCTGGGAATAGCGTGCCGTGTCCTTGAACTCAAACATTGGTCTGTTGCTGTGTATCCAAACTGTGTGATGTGTACAGATACCTTCACTAATGTCAAGGTGTTTTATCTGGACATGTACCTCAAACTGAATAATCCCGACTCTGACAGGCTCATCACATGCGTGTAAATATCCTCATCACTAGACTAAATATGTAACTTTAATAGAAACAAATAATTCTATAGATATAAATTGAAAAGAAGCCCGAGTGATCTCAGTGACACAGTAATTTATCAAATCTAGATCTGGGCCCCGTTCCTCAAAGCGATCGTAGCGCTAAGATTATCGTAACTTCCATACTTTAACATAGACTTACGACAGTCGTAGCGCTACGATCGCTTTGAGGAACAGGGCCCTGCTTCATTTAGGGCTATTACATGGCGGAGAGGGTCAGGCAGAAGGGAACAGTTCAGGGACTGCGCGACACACAACATCATCACATGCTGATGGAAGGGGATTCTGGGATACGTTTGGTCCTCCGTAAACTGTGCTGGTCATCAGAGGTGACGATCATGTCAGTTTGTAGGATTTCATGACTTAGCTCCTTGTTTGGCCTTGTACAACAAAGGTGTAGATGATTGCACACAATATCAATCACTGCATTGTCTGGTCCAGACTGAATTGGTTACAGGCTGCCTTCATATGTCTGGAATATTGCTGAGTCAGGTGTAAAACCATCAACACAAACAAACAATCAAACAAACAAACAGTACAGCACACTTAATAATTGAGTGATTACACAATGCCATTTAGAAAGTGGTCAAATGAAACATTGACCACATGTTACATTAATAACTGAGGCAGGCATGGATTCCACTTACACCTTGTGGTGTGATAACCTTGTGGTGTCTGAATGGCTGTGGTACAACCTCTGTGGTGCCTGATTGGCTACTGTGTGACAACCTGTGTAGTGTCTGATTGGCTACTGTGTGACAACCTCTGTAGTGTCTGATTGGCTACTGTGACAACTTGTGTAGTGTCTGATTGGCTACTGTGTGACAACTTGTGTAGTGTCTGATTGGCTACTGTGTGACAACTTGTGTAGTGTCTGATTGGCCACTGTGTGACAACCTCTGTAGTGTCTGTTTCTCTACTGTGTAACAACCTGGTGTCAGTATTGTTGAGCTAGTAGAAGCTCCACTGTGATCCGTTACATTGAATCAGTTTAGAGGTATAGGTTGCATATTTAGCTATGCAATAAAGTTAAACTAGTCTTTTGAAAGTGTGGTCCCTATGTTTAAATGTTGTCCTTCTATTTGAATATTGTTCCTATATTTCAGTATTGTCCCTACATTTCAGTATTGTCCCTATATTTAATGATGGTCCCCATATTCAAGAGCTGTCCCTATATTTAGATGTGGCCATTATATTTAATGTCCCAGCTATTTTTGAATGTTTTCCCTATATTTGAATGTGGTCATTACACAGGTACATGATGGATGCTCCCTGTTCTCAAATGTGGTTCTAATATTTAAGGGTGGTCACTGTATTTATGGATGGCCGTAGTATTCTATATGCATGTTGTATAGCTGTTCATTGTGTTTAAATGTTTCACATTTTGTGTGTCTCTGTATGAGAAGCTTAAGATGGTATTTTATTTTGCAGGGATTTTTCCGAAGATGCATCACCCAAGGAATGACACATAAGTGTGCAAATGAAGAGAAGTGTGAGATAACGCCTTTTACCCGCAATAGCTGTCAGTATTGTCGCCTCAAGAAGTGTTTCTCTGTGGGAATGTCACGGGAAGGTGAGTCACAGTTTCAGTGTACATCTCCATGGATACGTGTGGGTCATGTGACATGTTACGTATGTAAATGTTTCAGTGGAAGACAATGTAGTTGGGGGGGTGGGGGGGGCACCGAGACACCAGCCTTGATGACGTGGCTGGTTGTGTGTCATAGTAGGCAGTGCTCATGACATCAACCACTAGTTTGACCTGCTTGTTGATCAGCCACCAGTATGTTGTGGAAGTATGTTGCTGATATATATATTGCTTCAGCAACAAACTGTAGTGGCTGTACAGCTGGCAGCTGTAGCATGTCTGATGGAGCTCTTGTTGCTGATCTGTGGCTTGTCTGGTCCAGGCCCAAACAACACATTCATCTAACAAACATTCGCTGACTCGGGAATCTGAAGGGTGCGGAGGCTCGACTTGCAGGACAAATGATCAGATCAGTCAAACACCTGTTGAACTGTGGGATAGTTGATATTCATATTGAAGCATTATAAACCCAAGGGTTAAAAATGAAATTTACCCTAATAACTCAACTTTCTTTATAAAAACAAGCCATAGTACATATACCTGTGTCATATTATGTAAGTGTACTGTGATAGTTTGGATGAGTGGAACTTGGATGAGTTGGCCTGTTTTTCTGGCCCTGGAGACGAAGCCAAGGGAATTAGCCTGATGAAACATTGAACTTCTTTACTACTGACATTACTATCTAGATTGTAAGAAATTTTATTACGTTTCAGCATGATGATTGAAATATTGAATTTCTATTTAGTCATTAAACATAATCCGTTATTATTATTAGTAGTAGTATACAGAACAGTGTGGCCAGTATTTCTCAGCATTGTTATAATTTGACGTATTTCTTGATGTGTTTTAATGATGAAACTGATCTTCTGTGAGACGACCACAAGTGTGTTAGTGTGAGGAGGTGTTTGGATTCAGGGAGAATATGTTTTGACACACAAGTCCAAGGTTATAATATGCTGGTGTTCAACTTACGGGGAGTAATTATCACTGCCTAGCCCATCTTCGAGAGCAGCTTGACCCAACTAGACAGCTAAGGGATCTGCTTGTTGACCTTATCTCCACTGCAGCAAAACATGACAGTCAGATGGCAAATTCCTCAACTGATACAAATTTTCCTTGCAGGATTTTTCCATGTATTTTAATGTTGTGTAGTATTTTCTGGTTTGAATGTGACTCGTCTCACTGTTCAGTTCGGTCAAGATGTATTTGTGAGCTGACATGTGACTCATCCTTTTAATTCAGTTCGGTCAAGATGTATTCGTGAGCTGACATGTGAGTGTCTTGCTCTGTGGGAGAAATACAGGAGAGTAATATGGCTGGATGTACCTCATTGTGTCATAGGTATTACCAGGAAGTGAAAAAAGTGAATGTTTAAAAATAGTTGAAAATGTGAAGGCCATGCCTCTTCCTGATGTTAATAATACTCCCTGCATTAAACCAGCACACAATGGAGTTCTCACATACCTGCATGATACTGTCTCAGGGAGGGGGCGTATCCAAACCTCACAGGCTATTTGAGATCCTTCAGCTGAAATTATTTTCAGATGCCTCTTTCAGACTGAAATATCATCTCGTATTGTGGCTTCTATTATCGATAAGGGATAATCATTTTCAGAAATTATTTTATGTGAAATGACATACTGAATTCAGATATTTAGTTTAGAATTTTTGAAACAACCCTTTTGGCATCTCTTGGAAATGAAATGTGTGCATATAAGACCAGGATGACAGGCAGTCAGTGTTGCAAATATCTGCAAATTATTGAGCTAAAAAGGAATGCATTCTGGGAATAACTTGAAACCCTCTCTTATAGTTTTTAAAATGATTCAATTTTTTTGTCAGAACAAATACATGTTCTACAGGCCTACCAAAGAAAACTTTCCCACTGTGCAGAAAAACGCAGAAAAGCCCACATTAATCGTGGTAATAGCAACATAAACACATTACCTCGCTACTGAAACAGTAAAAACGGCAACGAAAAACTATGAAACTGCAACATTTTTATATCAGCGAACTTTGACCTCTACTGCGCACGCGCATTACGATCCGGGCTTCTTTCCAATTTCCGAGCAACTGTGAATCGCCTCGCGTAGAAGAAGTATTAAATATGTCGAAATAATTGCTGTCAATCGTTTCATATGAATGGAAAGTAAACTAAAAAGGTGTGCACACAAGTATCCTGATGATAAATGCCAAATAACACAACAGAAATACTTAAAAAGGAATGTAAATTTTGTCCAAGGTGACTTCCTCTTCCATGTGCGCATGCGCAAAATCGAAGTTGCGGGCTCCTCGTTTTATGATGCGGTGTTAGCGATTTAAAGTTGCCGTTTTTACTGTTTCAGTAGCAAGGTATTATGTTTATGTTGCTATTTCCACGATTAATGTGGGCTTTTCTGCGTTTTTCTGCACAGTGGGAAAGTTTTCTTTGGTAGGCCTGTTCCAACTTTCCTGAGTTATTGTGTATGAATATCTTGAATTTCATACCTTAAAACAAAATTCAGAATTGTTTTTACCCATTGATTGTTTTTATTAGATGCAGATTGTTATGTTTTTAAGACTATTTTTTAAAGTTTTCTTCAATGATAGATATCTAACCTGTCAGTGGAGCCAAGTTTAGAATCAATACTTGTCAAATTACAACAGATCTGATTTACACTGAGAAACTTTCCCTTTCTAACATGACAAAACACTAGCAGTAATGAACTGTTCTACAGGTCAGATGGGACACATTCCTCGGAAACAGTTGTGTGAGAGTAGGGGTCTTGGTGTTTTACAATTGTATCATGAAGCATGTCAGATGAAAGCTTTCCACAAATGTGTTATTTGCCTGTCATGTGTATGATCTTTTTGAAAAACAAAACAACAATCATTTAAGTATAATATACAGCAATATTCAAGTATTAAGTGCTTTTAAACTGAGTGAGGTAACAAAAACCATTTGACACAAACCATTTCAAGATTTCTGTTGATAGAAATTAATTTTAAAAAAGAAAAAAAAGGTTTGAAAACTAAAATATAACTGAATGTTTGATCAGTGTTGCATTTAGGAACATTTGTCGTACAAGTAGTACAAGAAATGCCGTTTCAGATGACACACGTGGTTATAACTGTGACAGTTTGGTTTCTTTTAATGTTTATATCATACATTAACTCTGAGTAAACTTGGATGTTAGGGAGATATCATGTTTGTGCAGTGAAAATATGCCGTGGAAATATATTTAGAAAATGAAATATTTGTGAAAAAATATGAAGACTTTGTAGGTCCCACTTACCAAACATTTCCCTGAGATTTCCCTGACATCCAAAGAGAAGCATTTATTCATTGACTAAACAGACTTTATGTTTCAATTCAATTGTTTTTGTCATTAATGAAACCAATATATACACAGATAAATGAGAGCCATAGTTTCCCAGTATGCCTTATGTTTGATACATCAGTGGACAATTAACGTCAACATTTTCTGTTTTTCTAGTGTTTCTATTTCACATTTGGGGTCACAGTTTGACATTGTTCCATGGCTTTATGAGTATAGGCAGTTGAAATGACTTCTGTAATAATTCATGGTGGCAGCCTTGCCCATTACACTGGATTGGCCTCTCTGCTTGATACACATGTGGCCTTGAATCAAGATGTCAAGACACGTAATGTCAGGAACATGGAGCCAGAGCATGGAGCCAGAGCATGGAGCCAGAGTACTTGTAACATCATCAACTCATCAAAACAAATTCAAAAACCAAGCTCATGATAAATTTTCAGCAGAATTGTATTCCACTGGTACCCTTAGAATCTCTAACTTTGACCTGGGTTTTTCAGAACTCCATCTCACTGAATGTGCAGATATTCTTTCATCATCTGGGCTCTGTGCAGGTTCTGTTGTTGTCTGTGACGGCTCCAGGCTCCTTGGGAGCATGTTGAAGTATTGACCAGGTGCCAGTAACAACTGATGACCTCACTCCCACGCTGTCCTCTGTGACTACGCACACCGTTTAATAGGTTGCTTGATTGTCACGAGGATTGACAGGTGATGGAGGTAGGGGGGGGGATGAAAACATTATAGACTCCGATGACGCAGTAGACCTGCATGTTGTCATGTACCTGTACAGTTCCAGTAGATATAAGACAACTAGTGAAAACAATATGCTGATCAAATCTTGTACCTGTACAGTTCCAGTAGATATAAGACAACTAGTGAAAACAATATGCTGATCAAATCTTGTACCTGTACAGTTCCAGTAGATATAAGACAACTAGTGAAAACAATATGCTGATCAAATCTTGTACCTGTACAGTTCCAGTAGAAGACAACTAGTGAAAACAATATGCTGATCAAATCTAGTACCTGTACAGTTCCAGTAGATATAAGACAACTAGTGAAAACAATATGCTGATCAAATCTTGTACCTGTACAGTTCCAGTAGATATAAGACAACTAGTGAAAACAATATGCTGATCAAATCTAGTACCTGTACAGTTCCAGTAGATATAAGACAACTAGTGAAAACAATATGCTGATCAAATCTTGTACCTGTACAGTTCCAGTAGATATAAGACAACTAGTGAAAACAATATGCTGATCAAATCTTGTACCTGTACAGTTCCAGTAGAAGACAATTAGTGAAAACAATATGCTGATCAAATCTTGTACCTGTACAGTTCCAGTAGATATAAGACAATTAGTGAAAACAATATGCTGATCAAATCTAGTACCTGTACAGTTCCAGTAGATATAAGACAATTAGTGAAAACAATATGCTGATCAAATCTTGTACCTGTACAGTTCCAGTAGATATAAGACAATTAGTGAAAACAATATGCTGATCAAATCTAGTACCTGTACAGTTCCAGTAGATATAAGACAACTAGTAAAAACAATATGCTGATCAAATCTTGTACCTGTACAGTTCCAGTAGATATAAGACAACTAGTGAAAACAATATGCTGATCAAATCTTGTACCTGTACAGTTCCAGTAGATATAAGAC